GCTCGAGACGTGTCCGTTGCAGCCCTGCACAGCCTGGGCCAACTGAAGCTTTTGGCAGATGTGTGGCGACGAGCTCCTACTGTGCCGTCCGCACTTCCACTTTTTCAGCAATCACTTCCAGCCTTCAGAGCTGCACGGTAAGAAAGTGACCTGTGGCCATCGACTGGCCGTTACTGACCAAGTTGTCCATGGAGAATTGAGGTTGCACGCAATGAAGACGTATCACTGACTTGGAAATGCAGAAACGTTTCTTTACCGAAAGCTTTTGTGCTTGTTGGTTTGTTCTGCTGCTCGGCGTCTGTTTTCCAACACGAAGAAGAATGCTGCTTAGTGGATGTTCATGTATTACGGTAGATCGCCCGAACATCGTCGGACAGAACCATCCTTCCTCACTGGCTTCTACCAATGGACCGTCAAGAAGAAATAGCAGCATTACTGGAGCAGCGACGGCCAACGAATCGTCGACCCCGGTGCCTATTTCTGATCTCTCCCATATGGCGTTTCAGTCATTGATGAAATTGGATAATCATGACCACGCTCAGAACCAAGCCAAGAAAGTCAAGCGAAGGAAGCGTCGTAAAAGTACGAAACATCGGCTGCGTCAACGACAGAACAGAAACGAGAGGGAAAGGCTGCAAGTGCCGCAGACCCAACGGATGCCTCCGGACAAGCCTGGAATGGTCATCGCAACGGCTGACGCCTTCCAGAAAGACATGTGCCGCACGATGCGTCTGAAACAAAGGATTAGCGTACGTGGATGTGTCTCAAAAACGGTCGTCAATTCATTTTGTTATGGCCAGTGTAATTCTTTTTTCATTCCTGAGCCCAGAGGATTCGGAACTCGTCTTCGGCCGGCATTTGAGTCTTGCTCCGTCTGCAAACCGAGGGAGCTGACCCGCATAACGATTAAGCTGCACTGTCCTATGAGAGAACGGACCGTCTTGACTCGCACGTACCTGAAAGTAAAGCGTTGCGTTTGCACTCCCGTTAGGGACGACTCGATTGAGAT